CGCTGTGTATAAGAGACAGGTACCATACTGTCTTGATGACTGTGGCTTTGTAGTATAGTCTGAAGTCAGGCAGGTTAAGAATTTTAAAATGTAGAGGAGAGAGAGGAAATAGTACATAAATGAGTAAAATAGAAGGTGGAAAGGGATATGTGACGCAAGAAGGAGGACTCAAGAACCACAGCTGGAAGGAACAGGGAAAACATTGCAGCGGTGATGTGACTTTACCCAAGATGTCAGGATCTGTGCGTGTGAGAAGAAGAGGCGGAATGCTTTTGAGAAAATGCTGGATAATTAGAATACATGTGCCATAAAAAGGGTTCAAGTCATGGGAATTCCCTGGTGGTCCATTTTTTAAGAATCCACTTCCCAGAGCAGCAGACATGGGTTTGGTCCCTGATCTGGGAACTAAGATCCCACATGCCTCGGGGCAACTAGAGCATGTGCCACAATTAGAGAAGAGCGTGCATGCCACAAGATCACACGTGCTGCTACTGAGACCTGAGACAGCGAAATAGATAAATAAATATACTTTTTAAAGGGTTTGTATCATTGAAAGGGAAAAGGGAGAAAAAGAGACGCCGCTATTTTGACTAGTAGTATAGGTAAAAATCTCAACACATCAGGAAATATTTTAATTTTGGAGTTTCTGATTTAGACACATTTTAAAAGAATATGACACTTAATTTAAATATTGTGTTTTTGTTTCTATGGAGAAGTTAACAGTATCTTAAGATGCTTCCTTATATAAGATCATCTGGATGGATGTTTTTAAAAGAATATCACTATTTGATATGTTGAATGACCTTAAGTATGCTCATTCATTATGTAAAGTCAAATGAACTGTGAAAACTTTTAACTGAAGGAAATATACCCTTGTAGTTTTTGTCTCTGCATGTGTTCTAATATTAAAATACATATTTTATTCTTAGCAAAATGTGGATTTTTTATATATATATATATAATTTATGTATATATATGCATATATATATATATATATAAAAGCTGAATGGAAGATTTATGAAAGTGCCTAAAATGTTTCTTTCACTGTTGCAGGTCACAGATATGATGCTTCAGGACAAACCCTATCCTGATTGGGGAAAATCTGCAAGAGCTTTCTGGAAGAAAGGAAATGTTAGGATCATTTTATTCTGGTAAGAGACTGTTTCATTTATTGACTGTGTCTTGCCTCATTCACAAAGGACTTGAGTTGGATTTAGTTTTCTTTACATATATAGAATTCTATATAGAAAGGCATTTCTGATCGACACTATATTCCATCATTAAAATGATGAAAACCATTATTCTACCTAATCACTTTGTGCTTACACATTGTTGCATATACCCATTTACAAGAGATACCTTTACTAATACAGTTAAGCAACTAAGATTTTATCAGGGGTAAGTAGGTTTTTGACTCAGTAAAAATAAGCTAGAATATTCAATGAAGTCTGATATAAAATTCAGCAAATGCTGAATTTCCAGCATATTTGACAGGATGTAATTTTGCTTTGAAGAAATCATATAGGGAGGGAAACTCTCTACAGCTCACATCTGGCTCATTGGAACTTCTTTATGTAATTTCCTTTAGTTGTCCAGCCCAATTATTGCAATGAGAAAACAAGCATTATGAAACTTATGGAACTTATGGAACTTTGATTTTTTGCAGAGTCAATGTTATTTATATATATTTGAACAAGCTTAGACAGAAATGGTAGGAATACAGAAACAGCAAGAAGGGCACTTCCCCAGGCTGTGTGACACTGCCCAAGCGCGGGGATTCAACCTGATGTGTGAAAAGTTACCTACTCTGACACTCGGAAGCCTTGTAATTGATGATAGTTTGAGCTTCATAAATTGCATAAAGTGCATGCTGTTTACCTGCATTTCAAAAAGAAAAAATAAAATCTCTTTATTCTTGGATTTAATTCAGAGGGTTTACTTATTTAATTTTGTCATGTACAGACTACAAAAATCATGGTCACTAAATACTTGGAGGAAAGTATACACTCTAAGCTGTCTTTATGCTTTAGCAATATTACTAAATGTTGCTTTAGATATATAGTATTTTGAATTCAATTATTAGCAAGTAAAGAAATATAGATTTTTAAATAATATAAAAATGAATATGATTTTGTAGATGTTTATTCACAACTTGTCTCTATGAGTCAAGTGTGGCCTATTTTTATGATGCATTTAACTTTATATCTTTTCCTATTTGTAAGCTCCCCATGTTGCTTGACCCGATAATATATAATATAATAATTATAGCGTGTATTTACTGAAGGTATGTTTTGCTCCCGTCTCTGTGCTGAGTATTTATTCATTTCATCCTGATAATCCTATAAGTAAGTGTTATTACTATAAGTATAGGTCTCTGACTTTAAGGCTCCAGTTCTTAATCTTTACACTAGACTATCTCTAGAAAAACCAAGGATACATTGGTGTGCAAATTCCAAATGATTATCCTTAATCATTATTTAGGTAATGGTGCTAAATAAGAGTGTGAAATTCTGGAAGATCATTCTACCCTATAGAATTCTGTACAGGCATTTTAAGAATCATGATTTAAAAGGAGATAAACTCAAATATTGAAAGTGTTTATGGGCTATGTCTCTTTTAAAATATCCATTTACTGTGGGGGATTTCCCTGGCAGCCCAGTGGTCAAGACTTCATGCTCCCATTGTAGGGCACATGGGTTCAATCCCTGGTCAAGGAACTAAGATCCCACATGCCCCTTGGAGTGGCCAAAAATAAATAGCTAAGATAGATATTTATTTTTTAAAAATCCATTTACTGTGTTTACAGATATTTTGTATAATTAAATGTATCTTCAAAGGCAGCCCATTGATTATTTGCAGACTGCGGTTGCAGAGTCAGACACAACCAAGCAACTAACACACACTTTGTTTATTAGATAATATATTTGAGAGATGATTTTTCATTGTTATGTTTCAGAGCATGGAGAGCATAAAACAACTGGAGGAAAATTTAAATAGCACTTTGAACATGTTTTTTCCTATTTTATCCACTATATACAGTCAGATTATCTTGACAAGAGTATTCATGGTTTTTAAAAAAGGAAAATCTGATTGAAAAAGGTGAATAAGGAAATTATGTGGGAAGCAAAGAAATATCCCTTTTTGTTTCTACTTTTCAGATAAGAGGGATTTAGCAAGTATAAAGAACATTTGTTTTTTTAGCTCTAGGAGATAAAAATATAGAAATCATTGGCAAGGTTTTAAATGAAATAAAAGATAGTATTTACATACTCTGTGTCACCCATTCAAAAAGAAGTGGTTTTTTTTGCTGTTTTTCCCTAGTTAAGGAGAGATGAATTTATGTAAAGAAAAGAAGAAATCTGTAGTAAGGAAATTTTGCAAAGGAAAGCATTTATAAGTTGCAGTGTGATTGTGTGCCAGAGTTTAAACATTACGACATGCAATTATGTTGTGGTAAACTTACCTTTTACCTATATGTAGCTGCTTTAACTCACATTTCTGAGTCTGTCAGAAAGTATTTCATTTGCAACTATCTGGCTAAGTTCTTCCTTGATTCTTAGTGATAGATGTTTCTACGCCAGAGGAAATGGTTCTTTCTTTCAGTAAATGTGCAAAGGTATATTTCATGGGCCTTTAAGCCTTGCAGGAGACTCAACAGTGGTAGGTTTGAAGATACTAAATGGAAACAGACAGACTACAGAACTACCCTTCCAAAGCCCCATTCCCAGGCCTTTTGTTAACTACAAAGAATAAAAATTTAAAATCTAAATCTTAAATTAATGCCATAATGTGTATGTGATCAGTTGTGTCTGATCTTTGCAACCTCCATGGAATTCTCCAGGCAAGAATACTAGGGTGGATAGCCATTCCCTGATCCAGGGAATCTTCCTGATCCAGAAATCGAACCCAAGTTTCCTGCATTGCAGGATAATTCTTTACATCTCAGCCATCAGGGAAGCCCCAAGTTAATGCCACATACTGTTCTATTTTCCAGAGGGACGCCCAAAGCCTATTTTCACTCACCAGTATCTGAAGTAAATGTGTACATAAACATGGACATGAAATAACAAGTAGTATAATATTTATGTTAGCTTCTATCTCCCTGCTTTATTTACACTCTGGAGACACAATTTATATGCTTTTGAGGGAAAACAGGTTGCAAAGATATTTCCCGAAGTCTTATATTAAAAAATAAGGGAAGACGCTCTTCTGTAATTAGTAGGAGAATCAGTGGAAGAAGAAATCGGGAGAGTTGGTGGGTCATTTGGGCTTCACAGATACTTCAGTTCCTTGCCCTGGAGACACATTAAGAGGATTGCACTTTTCTGAGCCCTCTGATCACATGACTTGTTTTGACTAATTAAAATGTGAGTGGAAGAGACATGCATTACCTCTAAGTAGAAGCATTTAATTTAATTTAATTTAATTCTCATTAATACCAATGAGAAGCATTGCAAACAGCTCCTTTCCTGGTAGCCATGGTTGGAGTTTGTGTCTAGCTGGAGCCCTGTCATTCAGGCTCCATGAATGACCAGAATAGAGCCAGCATGCTTAACACATGTAGTGTGAGTAAGGAATAGGTCTTTGCAAATGTTAAGCCACTGAAATTTGGGGGTGTTTGATAGGGCAACAAAAACCAGCGTGTCCTGTTGTACGCTCAAAAGTGGAGTGCTGTCACAGCAGAAAGTGAAAATTTTTGTCTTAAGGGCTGGACAGAAAATGGCAAGGAAACCAATGATGGAGGCTAGAAAGCTGGCAGTGAGGATGTTATAGTGCCAAAGCATTTGGTAAAAACTGCAGCCTGTGGTTAGTTAGATGCTTAGACTTGGAAAGCATAGTGTGTGGCTGTGTGTGTCTGGGTACAACCGACCTCTTCCATTCTACTATGTTGCATAGAAGAGATTGCATTTCATTTTTTTCTGTATTTAATGATTCAGTTCAGTTCAGTCGCTCAGTCATGTCCGACTCCTTGTGACCCCATGAATCGCAGCACGCCAGGCCTCCCTGTCTATCACCAACTCCCGGAGTCTACTCAAACCCATGTCCATCGAGTCAGTGATGCCATCCAGCCATCTCATCCTCTGTCGTCTCCTTCTCCTCCTGCCCCCAGTCCCTCCCAGAATCAGCATCTTTTCCAATGAGAGAGCAGAATATGGACTGCTATAGTCTGAATGTTTGCATCCCTCCAAAATTCCTATGTTGAACTCTTGATGCCCTGTGTAATGGTGGGACCTTTGCGAGGTACTTAGGTGGTGATGGTGGTGCCTGTAGAAATGGGACTAGTGCATTTATAAAAAAGACCATAGCCCATTCTACCATGTGAGGACACATTGAGAAGGCTATAAGTATAGGAAGGAGGGCCTCACCAAACTCGACCGTGCTGATACCTTCCTCTTGGACTTCCAGCCTCCAGAATTGTGAGAAATAAATGTCTGGTGTATATGTGTCACCCAGTGTGTGATACTTTGCCATTACAGCCCAAATGGACTAAGATATGAGTCCATGAGTCTAAGTCCCATGAAACAGATTTAGGTCCAAGTATGAAAGGATGCCCTAATAACATGAGCCTCTGAGTGCTGAATGAGCCTGCCTGATGTACGGCTAAATTCCCCATCAGTGGAAGTATTCCTGCTGAGACTACATACTCCTTCAGGGATGCTATACAGGGTTTTCACATTGAATGAGAGAAAAGGTAAATCACTTAAAATTTTCATCAAACTTCGAGATTCTCGGACTCGACATTTTTAACTAGAGAAGTACTGCATATTGATTTTTAATAGAGAGGATACTAATTATAATTTAATATGTTCTGTATAATTCCATCATCATTATAGCAAAATTTTTGCAGTAGACAATAATTCATGAAAAGTTCCAGGGGCAACTAGAGTATGCACAGTTTTTTGCCTCACTTCCCAAGTAATAAATTAGCCCATATCTTTCCTCTGGATGGATTTTTGTCTTTTTGCCTTCAGCCTTCCTTCCACCTCAACGTGTCTCTTTATGCAGTTGTATATCTTTAATTAAAAGCTGCCTCTGTGAGGGAAAGTAGAGCATTTTTAGCCCAGGTCATGTAACTGTACCTATTGAATCAGTCACCTTCACTTTATACACTACTCTAAGTTAACAGGCTCCATTTAAATCTTCACAGTAG